CCAGGTTTCAGAGACACACACAAAATCTACGGAAGAGCTTTCAAAGACATGCCTAATAAAGTCAATTTTAACACTATTAAGGCTACGTGAATTAAAGTGCACGTTGTTAAACCCTTTCTGCCTACCACATAAAATATTCGACATGGCCAGACTGTTTCCATCATTCATAACATTACCACGGTGTAGCGAAACAAAGGTGGCGCCGTCAGAGGTACCGCTACTTTGGTTTTGCCGATTTTGACAGTTGTGGTAACTCGTAAATAAACTTTTGTTTACAAATCAGTGGCATAGAGAAATTTGATTTATTAGTGAAAAAATCGTGTTAATTTGCTATTTGTTAGTGATTTTTCAATTGAAGAGTGTGTAACTTGTGCGACATGGCTCCAATTCGCGCTGTTGTGCTTCCATGAAGTGTGTCATCGTGCCCCATCTCATTATGCGTAGATGCAAGTGTAGCGCTGCGACGAATCGATGCAAATTGTGTATATAGGGCCCGGTAAAGCCGTTCCCGAAATTTTTTTTTATTATTATATTGATAGAATTTTATCACAGTCATATCGCTTCTGCCTCCTTTAGCAAGTTAACTAATCAATCCCACTCAGATACTGGCGCAGTTTGTGGCACCAGCCTTAATTGCAAAGCAAAGCAGTGCACTAAAACGTTTGCTGCAGCAGCCATAATTGCAAAGCATGGAGTGCACTAAAACATTCACTATTCTCCAATAGATTAGATGAAAAATGCAATATTTTTGCATTGATCAAAATTACAACACGTTTTTCGCTGTAAAGGAACTGTTTTGACAGTTTCAACTCGTTCTACTTTTGTCTCTATTCTTTGTTTACTACACGCAATTGTGGACGGCGCAATTTTGTATTCTATCATTCTTGTAACATTACTAGGAGACATAAGCAACACAGAGAATATTAAACAAAAGCCACATTATAGTAAGTTTAAAGATAATATTGAGAGCTGAAGCCAAGCAGACCATGAAATTAAATTAGGTAAATTAGCTGACAGGTAATAAGGTCAATTGACTTTATTTCCCACCCTCTTCCCCTCTCCTACCGTGCTGTATCGCAGGTAGATCTAT